TGGTCTACTGATCTTTCCCACCACCCTATTTCATCTCTCATAAAGCTAACAGATTGCTCTGTCTCACATTCATGTCAACCATCTCACTGCATCTGATCAGTTTTTTAGGGTTTGGGATAGAAATTGCTCTTGAGACGTGATGTAGCCCAGAGAAGCTGTGGATGCACTATTCCTGGAAGTATTCAAGGCCAGGCTGGATGGGGCTCTGAGCAATCTGTCTGGTGGAAGGTGTCCCTGCCCATGACAGGGGTGTTGGAACAAGATGATTGTGAAGGTCTCTTCCAACCCAAAAAACTCTAAGATTCTATCTTTGCAAAAGAGAGGAAATGTTCCATCCTCTGCACCAACACTTAGAGCAGATGTCGGAGAGTTGTTTACCAGCAGGGTACATGAATGTCTCCATCCAAGATACTGTGGAACTGATGACAGTCTCCTCCTTGATTTCAGCAGACTTTAGATCAGTTTTAGTTGAACAAAGTACCTCAGGAACAACTCTGGTGTTAGCAGAGAATTTTCTGCTCTATTATTCACATGGATTTTTAAACAACGTCCACTGAAATCAGTGTCCCTCTTTTCATTAACTACAGTTGGCTTTGGGTCAGGCCTGGGAAGATGCACATCTTCCAGAAATGCCATCGGGTGATTTCTTTAAAAATCATCGAACAAAGATATATGAGCGCATGGGATGATCAGCAGGGAAGAAAGTCCCATCTCTATTTTATACGGTTGGCTTCCTGCTCATATCAGCAATAATTTAGATAATTAAATTTCTTAGTTCAGTAGTTGAAAGAGGCACAATCAACAAGCTGACTCTACTAAGATGTCAGATGTATTAGTGTGCCGGGTTTTATATTTGTTTTTCTTTTTTGTGTGTGTGTGAAAAGCTGTATAATTGGACACTGTCTTTTTCACCCCCGGCTAACCTCTTCTTCAGAGGAGCATACCAAAGACATTTAAAATCACATTATGAATGCCAGCATAGTTACAACATTTATATCGCATATGGTGATGTTCAGTGGCAGCAGACGAATGGATGAAATCAAGCACAATAATAGAATCAGCCCCCCTTGAGTTTAACAGTAAGACGAACAGTTCAGTGGTATAATTTAGTAAAAGGCAAGTAAGAGCTCATATATTTTAATGAGGGGACTAAAGTCCATAACTGGGCATGCTTTTAACATTCTACTTTGATTCACTGGTCTTTATACTGTCACTGTAGGGTCTTTGAACTTTTGCTCGCATGAGACAGAAACAGTTTTATTCAATCACGCTCCTGAAATGCTCGTCTTACTATGACTCCAGTTTTATTTTGTTTTGTTTTATTAATATTTGTGGCTGAATCACTCCTCTGAAGGATGAAAGAGATCACACAAAGTGTTCTGTTTTTTTCCATCTTTAACTCACGTGGGTTTTGCTGTTGGCGGTGTCTCTCAAACCAGGACAGAAGAGTCTGTGGAGAGTCTGAGATGGGGTATATCTAGTGTTTGTGCTTCAATTTTGTCTCCTAGAAGTGCTGTGGAGTTTTCTTCTCTGACATATTCTTTGTGTCTGCCCTTCTTTTCCTTTTATTTTTTCATGATACCACTTCTAAACAAACAATTTTGCTTCTCTCATTCCACACAAGTTTTTCCTCCTTGTTTTCTGAGTCGCAATGATGAGATGCGAAGACCCAGCTGTCCTTTGGCTCCTTTTTTTTGATGCTGCTTTTTTCACTACATTCCCCAAAGATTGTTTACTTATTGTTCAAAACTAGAGACCTTACTATGCATTCTAACTGACCTAAAGGTCTATACTAACCCCCCAAAAAGTCATACTAAAGCTGAAAGTTATATAGAGCTTGTGTCTATCTTTTGCATATTGTTTGTTCAGCTGTGAGATGGTATGAATAGCTGAGTGCTGTACTTGTATTTTAAATGTAGAGAGCTCACTTTAACATTTACCAGTATGCTTCTCATCCTGGATGCCATTCCCACATCATGTTTGCATGTAGCCAGAATTATTCACCTCTTTTTTTCCCATTAAACTATTAAAAACGGAGCCTCAGACACAGAGTCCACAGTTTGGTAATACACTCAGACATGATGAGATTTGTCAGGTCTTTTTGCAATGTCACTTAATACATCCTAATGTGTCACAAGGGAATCACAAAGTGATGTTTGCGAGATAAAAAGAAAATGGGATGTATTTTTAAATTATGAACATTGACTTATTCTTCTTTTAGGAAAATTATTCCCACATGATAGGCTGATTTAAAAATAATAGTAATAAAAAAAATCCATGTTGGCCATTTGGAAATAGGGCCGACTAAATAGAAATTCTTGGACCACTCTGACGCCTAAATTGTCCCACTTTTGGCTTCTTTTTGACCATTTTTCCTGGAAAGGGAGATAAATGGTGAACAGCTGCTATAATATCAAACTGGGCTCAGGGACATACTGAGATGGGAAAGAAACCGGTGTGGAAAACCCACCACCAAAAATATCTTATTTTCAGACTTTCTTCTAATGCCCCTGAAAGCTTCCTTGCCATGATATGAGTCCTGTTGACGTGAATGGGGCAATTTTCTCTCACTGGCCCACCTGTGCATAAAGTTGTTGCAAGTTAAGAGACTTGGTTCAATTCTCAATCTTATAAAACTGGATTATAGCATATTATTATGTATTTTGGCCTGAATGCAAGAATAATATTGAACCATAAATGCGCATTAAAGCCACCACAGGTTATGATTATAGGTTTTAAGCAGATGATATGATTCAATTTGTCGTGCTTTTTTTGCCACTATTTTTAGAATAAATGGCTGTTCTGAGACACCTTTCAGCATTCATAATACAGCAGTGAGCCCTTGAAGTGCTTTGGCAGGGAGTGGGGAGGACTGACGCCTTAGAGACACAGATCTCAGACCTGGTTATGTGGGCAGTCACACATGTACCAAGCAAACAACATCCACCAAGCTGCATCCGCTGCTTCCAGAGCCAGCGTCGGTCAATCCCAACGCCGCTCTGCTGACTGACACCAGCTGGTGCTCTGCTCCTTTTACCCTGGCCTCATGTGGGTTAGCAGCTGGCCAAGACTGTTTTTAAGAATGTATTTATAAAACTTCAGAGCCGTGCAAGCCCAGACACAGAGAAAAAACATTTTGAGCTCTCGGTGCTGGAAGTGCAGGACGTCGCTCGGCAGATCTGGTTTCCCAGCTCTTGCTGCTGCCACTGACCTGCTGTCCCATCACCAGTGCCCGAAAACAATGCTTCCTAAAAAATCTAGGGAAGCAAAAACTTTGGGCTGAAGGTTTCCATAGGTATTTTAAGTAAAATAAGCCTGTCCTTATCCATCTGCAAGTGGCTGCCTGATCAGTATTTCAATAATGCACTTATTTAGAAGGAAATTCTAACTACTGTAGGGCACAGTGGTATTTTCATGCCTTTTTTACCCTGCAGCATTTTCCAGCTGGCTCAAACCTGAGCACCTTGCTGTCTGGTAGGGACATCGTCTGGCTGAGGTGTAAACTACAGCACCTGCTCATGTCTTTTGGATTTAGGGTTGGTACATGAATAAATACAAGGTTTTTTTTAATTCTTTCTTGAATTTGTGTTCCACTGCTGGCAGATACTTCCAAGTCTTATTTGCAGAGTGAAAGGTTTATTATATGTATTGCTTTTCTCTTCGTCTGCATGTGATATGAACTTTTGAAGACAAAAGAGCCTATAGTTTTCTGTGGGAATAAGAATTTATAGCTACATCTCCACAACTTCATAATATTTTTCCCTTTTTAATTTCCTAAACCAGCACAACGTGCACTTTATTCCTGACTTACGTGGTAGAGATAGGTCCAACATTTGCCTGATCAAGACTGGTTTTGAACAAATGCTGACACCACCATTCTTTTTGTCTATGATTCCCTATGGCTTTGAAAAGAAATATCCTAGAATGCATAATCAGCCCTGCAGCAATGATCTACATCACAGAGTGTCCTCTTCATGACTTCTCCCCAGCTATCAACAGTGAGAAGCAGACGTGCAAATTAAAAGACAGAGAAGGCAGAACTTCCCCCAGAAAATGGACAAATAAATCATTGGAATCATTAAAGAGGAAAAGAAAGAGTAGAAGCAGGTTTCCCCCTCTGTATGTGCAAAGAATAGATCAAACTGCAATGACTTCATGATATAACAAAAAAACCCCAAAACAAACAAACAAGAACAATAAGTTAATAACAGATTTATTTTTTTTTATATAAAGGAGTTGATTTACTGTTATAAAACACAGCTAAACTTTTGACAGCCCAGCCACTTTGCCTGGCTTGTTACATCATCTGACTTCAGTAGCTTCAAAGTCTATTCAAACCTTATGTTGAAGATCACCCACCTGTGCTTTTGCACTTCTTTAAGTTAAGTAGTTGAAAGACATGCTTTGAAGCTGCTGAGTTTACTCCTACAGAGAAGGACCGATGACAACAAATAGATATATGAAAACTTCAGCATATTTTTAGCATTCGTCATTTCTGAGACTCCAGAACCAAAAGCAGCACTGGGTGAAGTGGCAGTGGGTTGTGTGTGTGATTTGTACTGGTTTGTATCTGGGCTCTGCGTTGTGTATCTCCTAATGATGAATGCGTGGGAGGGCCAGGTCAGGAATGGTTTCCACTCCAGTGCGCTGATTGTGTAGTTGGCAGTGGGCTCAATTAAAGTATAATAATCTGGTAATCTCTCTCCTGTTTCCATTCAGCTGCTTCACAGTGAATAGAGCCAGTGAACGAGTATAGCTTTTGAAAAGTAGGTGAACTCCTGCCTCTTTGTCTGAGCAGTTTGTGTCTAGTCAAGTAAAATGACAGGCAGAAGAGACGACTCTCCAAAACGTTGCTCCCATGACTTGCATCATTACTGTCATTTGTGTTTCTGTGAGATAACACTTGCTCTTTATTTTCCTTTCTAGGCTACAGATTGGATTTCTAGCAAGCTTCCCACCACGGAGAACAGACAAGCTGATGTGAGAAGGGAGATATGGATATGTCCATGACGGGAAGATGCCGTGTGTCCCATCTCTTGGTTCTTCTCATTTTCATGTTCAGCAAGGAGAGAATCGAGGCACAAAGAGCAGGTATGCACCATTCAGGTTACTGCCTCATGCTCATGAGCTGCTGGGGCTTTCCCGTGGCTGAGAAGTTATCATTGCTAGGAGGAAATAGTTATCATTGACTGAGAAGTTATCATTGCATCTCGTAAAAACCCCGAGATGTTTACTGCTGAAAATACATAAAAAAGACCTTAGGGATGGAGATAGGTCAGGGATCAGGGTTATGGTTTAGCTGGGGTCTCTTGTTCTGTTACAGGCTTAGAAAGTTTAGCTCAGCTACTCACAGCAAGAGGAGCAGTTTACCACAGTTTACTCTGGATATGCTCCATCTGCTCCACACTGGCATGGTGTTTGCTTCTTCCATCACCTTCTGGGAGTGTCAGAGGAGACCTGGTGACTCTTCTGTCTGGCTGTGACTTTTCTTGTGAGCTAAATAGGGCCAAGGCACTGTTCATACCCTTTCTTGGTTCAAGGTATTTAAAAGACATGTTGATGTGGTGCTTAAGCAGCGTGGTTTAGTGGTGGACTTAGCAGTGCTGAGTTAATGGTTGAATTGGATGATCTTAAAGGAATTTTCCAACTTGAAAGGTTCTATGATTCTAGGTTTCTATACTGTCTAGTTGCCAGCGTGGCCCCCTGGCATAGCTTTTGGTCTGGGCTGATGAACACTCTGCCCCAAATGCCTCTGAATGCATTAGAGGATGGTGCAGCTGAGGACTGCTGCTACAGGCACTCAGAACAAGGACACGTTGGGTTTTGTGCAGGAGTAAGAAGAGTTATCTGTAACCAGTGATGCCACACCTGAAATGGAAAATAGTTGTAGACCCACACAATTTTTTGGTATAAAAACCCAAAGGCATTTTGAGATGGAGGTTTTCTGTCTCTTTTTCTAGGAAAGCTGCTATTCTATAGGCTTGGGTGATTTACAAGAAAGAAAAGGCTTTTTTAGACCTTCTCTTAGTTTTACAGTTTAGCTGTTTTACAGTTTTCTTATGTGATCTATGGAAGGCATTTTGGATGAAATTTAACAAGAATAAATACTTAGTAACCAAACAAAGTGAAATCTCACCTTTTTTCTCTGCTTCTGGATCAATCATAGGCAGAATATAGTGGTGCCATTTATTTGTTCATTCTATGCTTACTTTAAATAATTTTGGCCTTATGGCTTGTTTTTGAACTATTTTTAATGGGAATATTGCAAAACAGTTGGTTCAGTGTCAGAATGGATCAATACAACTCCCTGAATTATGCTTTCAGAGAGTATTTCTGCAATTACAAAACTGAAATTTTGCTTTGCTATGAATTATCTCCAATATTCCCTTAACATGAACTTGTTTCTGCCAGTAGAAAATACTGTTATAATGTTCTTGGAAAACAATAAATTTTGTCCAGCAGTGGCCTTTAAAGTGCTAAAAATGCATATTAATGTTTACCAAAAGCTTTTCTGCAGCATTTCATCCCCCTTCCATCAGGTCTGTAAGCAAAGAATCAGTAACTCCAAGAAAATGATCCTGAAAGAGCACATTTTTCTTCCTTTCGATATTGCCTTGAATACATATCACTTTTAAAGCCTTAACTCCACCTTGTTTTAAGGCTTGTTGCCCTTGAACATAGACAGGATTCATTCTGTCTGTTCTGTTTTTTTTTAATTGCAGTCATCTCACCTGCTGTGAGTGGTTAAAATAAGCAATAGGACTGCTCTGTACCTTGTGGGTTTTGTTCTCTACTTAGTCTCACCTAATTAAGATTCTTTCAGACATAATAGATAATTATAATAATGAATTTGGAGAGGGGAGGTGGACAAGTGTAGATTCCTTGCTTACCTTTTACTGTTATACATTCTATCCTTTATATTCTCAAAACATCAAGTGGAACCACACTTGACATTCTAGCTCATATACACAGATATGATGTAACTTACATCCCATTCTATAAAATGATATGTACCATCATGTCTACTCTCAGACTACCTTTGGAGAGTTTTCCCAGACAGACTTTTCTTGCTCTGTGGTTAGAGGCAAGCATTCCCTCACTCCCAAAATGTCATCACAGAACACGATCCCACATGCTGGTTTGGGCTGGGATAGAGTTCATTTTATTCACTGTAGCTGGTATGGGTCTGTGCTTCAGATCTGTGCTGGAAACCGTATTGGTACCACGGGGCTGTTTTTGTTACTGCTGAGCAGGGCTTCCACAGGGTCAAGGCTTTTTCTACTCCTCACCGCACCAGTGAGAAGAGTGGTACAAAGAAATTAGATGAGGACGCAGTCAGGAAAGCTGCCCCCAACTGACCAGAGGTGTATTCCAGACCAAATGGTGTCATTCTCAGAAATAAAACTGGGGGACATTTGGCTGGAGGCTGCTGCTCAGGGTCTGTCTAGGCATCAGTTGGTCAGTGGTGAGCGTTTTCATTTGTGTCATTTGTCTTTCTTGGGTTTTATTTCTCTCTCTTTGTTATTTTTATTACAATTTCTTTTTCTTCCTATTCTTATTTTATTGCATTCTATTTCAATTATTAAACTTTATTGTCTCAACGCTTGAGTTTTCCCACCTTTACCCTTCCAGTTCTCTTTCCCCAGTCCTGCTGGGGGGAAGTGAGTGAGCGGCTGTGTGGTGCTTAGTTTCCAGCTGGGGTTAAACCATGACAACAAATTATTTCCAAAGAGATCCCACGTGAATGGGTTGAGGCCAATGTGGTCTCAATCCCATGTGCCTAGTTTGTTCCCACAGCCACTGCAGCACCTGGGATGTACTCTGCTACAGAAGCCAACACAGCAGCAGATGATGCTCATTTTTTATCAACATCTGCCACACACTAGGTGTAAATTCAATCACTCTCACAGCCATCATGTAATACCATGAGCACTGATCTACTTGGGATGCTTTTACTCTTCTCTAAAGGCAAATCCACTTCATGCGGCTGAGCTTCCACTCTCTGCTTTCCAGTGCAGTGGGCAGTTCTGACATTCTTCCATTCAGGGCAGAGTCACAGACTCAGGATGAGCAAAAGCACCAGAGCTAATTTTGGTCAAAATTTTGGTGTGGGGGAATGTTTTCTGACTTTTCTGTAGGTTCAAAAGTTGGAATTCAGTAAGAAAATATGGCATTTTACCATTAGTTTAAACAAGCAGTTGTACTTAGTGAGATGATGTGAGCCAAGAACTACTGGAGAAATAATCGTTGGTGGTTGTGATCAAATTGACTTTGTAGAGCAGCTTGCAGTCTTAAATTCATAATTTATTAGGGATTATGGTCTATAACAATGAATTAAAGAAACATGTGTATATATATACACATTTTGTCCTGTTAGGGCATTATGTTGATAAATCTTGGGCATCTGTGGGATGTTTATGGATCTACTGCCTCCCGAATTGCATATATTCAGAAGCAGCTAAAAACATCTCCTGAGAGATCTAATTTTTTGGCAAGTGTCTGACAAATATATGACCAGTCTGGCTTGATAGGGCAAGCAAGCTGCAATTAAAATACATTTGTGTTTTGGATTGCACAAGCCTCACATTACAAATATCATGGTTGCAGGCAAGGGGGTGGTTGTGGGGATAAGTGGCATTTTCCCTTACAAGGCAGCTGCCCTTTGTTGTCAAGGAAGGCATCCCAAAATTCAGTGAGTCATCCTTTAGTCAATGGTCAGTGGCAGAGAGCCTCAAAATTGCAATAATCTTGTTATAGACTTGCTTTACCAACACATCATGCTGAGCAAAAGAACTACTTCTAACTAAGCATAAATAAATCATAAAGTTAATGCAAGAGAGAGCATAAAAGCTTCACTACTCACGGTCAGGATTGGCATAGGCAAGGTCAGGGCAGGTCTCTTGATCTGCTAAGGTCATTTCAAAGCATTGCCCTGGAGAAAGGCACTACAATGAAGTCAGAGAAAAATAGCTTCATATGCATGCAGATGGTGTAGGTGAAGGATTGAGCAGAGGCAGTTTAGCAGCACGGGAAGAGAAAGGGTTTGCATTTCAAAGCAAAGTGTGTGCTGATTTGCAGATGTCCTGAAACAGATGAGGTGAATCACAAGGAAGAAAGGCTGCGAATCTGCACATCCTCCACAGGATAGGGACAGAGTTTGCTACTTCCTCCAAATTGCTCACTAGGGAGCCATGCCTAGGGAATATTTGGTATGTCTGGTACTCTGCTTTTATCTTCCCTTAACGATATTTTCTGCCTCTCTTGCAGGTTGCAAGAGTGTTCACTATGACCTTGTCTTCCTCTTGGATGCCTCCTCCAGTGTTGGAAAAGAAGATTTTGAGAAAGTTCGTCAGTGGGTGTCTAATTTGGTGGAAACTTTTGAGATTGGCCCAGACAAAACCCGTGTGGGTGTGGTGCGATACAGTGATCATCCAACCACAGAGTTTGACCTGGGAAAGTACAAAACCTGTGAGGAAATCAAAGAAGCTGCACGAAAAATTCAGTATTATGGGGGTAACACGAACACTGGAGATGCTCTCAGGTACATCACCACCTACAGTTTTTCCAAAGAAGCTGGTGGGAGACTCAGTGACCGAACTGTTAAAAAAGTGGCCATCCTTTTGACTGATGGAAGGAGCCAGGATTTTGTCTTAGATCCAGCCACTGCAGCACATCAGGCTGGGATTAGGATTTTTGCTGTGGGTGTTGGAGAAGCCTTAAAAGAAGAACTTGATGAGATTGCTTCAGAGCCCAAGTCTGCTCATGTGTTTCATGTTTCTGATTACAATGCCATTGATAAAATTCGGGGGAAGCTGAGAAGACGCCTCTGTGAAAGTAAGTGGAACTCTGCACAACTGGAATAGGTTCAGTTAGCATGTAGGTATGAAAAGCTGTGATTTTTTTTCTTTCATGCCTATAATTCTACACTGATAATTCTTTATTTTTGTGTCTTCCACTCAGTTTGATTCTGTAAGAAATCACTGTTCAAGGCCAGGTTGGATGGAACTCTGAGCAACCTGATCTAGTGGTAGGTGGTAGGGGTAGGTAGCCCCTAGCCCATGGCAAGGGGCTTAAAACTAGGTGATCTTTAAGGTCTCTTCCAACCCAAACCATTCTATAATGTCATGATTCGATGATTTTATACGTCAGCTTTAGCGGACAACCACAGAGCAAAACATGAATTTCCTTTTGGTTCTGATATAGTTCAACTACTTTATAATATTTTGGACTACTGAATATGAAGGGTGACATTTTTTTTATACACAGATTTTGGTTGATTTCGTATAGGAACCATTTATTTCCCCTTTACTTACTAGCATTTTACTGTGAGAAGAATGCTCTGGAATAATCCTTAAGGAAGCAAAGGGATGTTTGTGCTTTTCTGCCTTTCAGCATCCCAACTCTACTGACAACTGGTGTTCATTAGTTCTCTGGCTGTCAACACCTTAAGCCTTGGTGATGTTTTGAATGACTTTTAATGGAGAATAATCTGTGGAATTTACATGGAATAAATGACTCTGAATTTCCAGCTCCTTGCTGAAGAGGACAGGAATGGCATTGTGGCTGCTATTTCCGAGCCCTTTAATGGGAACAGCAATCACACAACCCTTTCTCCTTCCACCATTGCCAAATTACTCTCTCGTTCTCAGCGACTCCATGAAAGCTACCTGGTTTTGCTGGTTTTGCAGTGTGTGTTGTGGTTATTGTGAGTTCTTTTGGTCAACAACATGAGATCCCACTCTTGGTTCTCGATCTGAACTTGGAAGACAACAGCTGACTGTGATGCTGTGACACACTGCAGTGTTAGGATAACCAGGTCTGTGAGCTGGCAAGTTGTCACTGTTCATGACAACAAGTTGCCTCAAAAAAACACACCTTGTAGCTGATGTTGTAAAGATCCTTCATTGATCTCTGTGACCTCCATTTTGCAAAAAAAAAAAAAAAAGTGTTAACACAATGCTCTGGGCTTATGTGGGGTCCTTGAAGAGTGACTAGGACAAGCAGGCATAAACTATTTGACAGTACCCAGCAATATCAAGATGTGTCTGCTTTTTCAGCCTGGACAAAAATGGATGTGGATAGTGTAATGCATACAAACGGAAGTCATCGTGGATAATACCTGTAAGCTATGCACACTGAGTGAACTCGGTCTTTTTTCCCTGAAAATCCTATTTAATCATACACACAACTGGGCTGTAATAGGGAAGGGTAAGCCCTTCTGGTGGGCACACTTGACCAGTCAAACAAGTTCCTACTGCAGCTGCTGAACTTCTAAAAATGTGATTTTCCTTTGGAATTCTACTACTTTTCTAAAGAAAGTGTTTTCTGTATTTTGTGCCTGGGTCATTTTTTGTTGCCTTCTCAAAAAATCATTTATCTCTCTGTCAGAGTATAATGCCACCTGTTTGTGGCTTTCTGAGCCCATACTACATCCACATATGTGTGCAAACCCATTCTCATTAGATTGCAAAGGAACAATGGGAACATCCTTCATCCTCAGTGCGATGGCAGTCACTCTCTAAGGTCTTCTATCTTCACTAGGGATTCAGTGAGAAATGGAGGCTGTGGTGAGTTTGTCACGTCTCTGTTGTTCCCTCCTCTTCAGGAGAAGGACTCCTTGCACTCTTTCTCTGCTTCAGTGTGGGCTTCTCTCTCCAGATGTCCACAGGTCCTACCAGGATCCTGCCCCAGTGGGGGCTTCCCATAGGGTCACATCCTCCTTCAGACAACCACCTGCACCAGCACTGGGTCTTTCATGGGCTGCAGGTGAATCTCTGTACCCCTGTGGACCTTCATGGGCTGCAGGGGCACAGTTGCCTCACCATGGTCTCACAGGAATCTCTGCTCCGGTGCCTGGAGCACCTCCTCCCCCTCCTTCACTGACCTTGGTGTCTGCAGGGCTGTTTCTCTCACATATTCTCACTCCTTGCCTCTGACTACGATTGCTCCTGAGCAGTAACTTTTTCCCCTAAATATGTCATCCCAGAGTCTTCCCTAAGTCTTTTTCTTCCTGCATTTAAAGCAGGGAAGCTGCTTTTGGGCAGAATCAATTTTATCATACTTATTTAATTTAATCTTTTGTATAAGGAATGTTTTTAATAGGCATTATTTTTAGATCAGGTCTGAATAAACATGAAAATCTTGCTGTCATTGAAGCCAACCACTGAAATAGAGGATGAAATAGTGGGACCACCAAGTGCAGAAATATTAACATAGAGATCAGTTAATTTTTTTGTTATCTGAAAGTGTGAGGTGGAATTGTTTTGAGGGGTGAGAGGGACCTGATAGAGAACAAGACTGAGTGATTTTCTGTGCCTGTGGCACTTTTAAATTCCTTGTTGTCACAGTAGGAACAGGAAAGGAGTTCACTGTAATGGCTGGGCCTTCTACGTATTTAGAAGGTAAAACTTTTAATAGCTGTTGTAGTTAACTTTCAGTGGTTTTAATGATAGCACTGCATAAAACAGGAACATACAAACCACTGGGTAGGTGGAAAACGTGACAAGGGCATATACCAAGCTGCTGTTTACTTTGTGCACATTCTGAGACAATGCATATATTGCCATAGCCAAGCTCAGGTTTTAATAGACATAATCCCTTGTGAGCTCTAGGGAGACACACGAATCAAAAGGCAGAAATGGCAGGAAGTTTTTTTGTTGTACTGACCAGTGATGAGTCTTCCAGTCCTTGTACTGCTGTGCTACCAAAATGTGAAGGGTTGTGAAGTGATGCAAATGCTGGATTTCACGCCAGCAGCTGTTCAGAATTGCTTGTCTCAGGCCTCACTGGACATCTGTCCAAGACTCAGTCATTCCATCTTGCTATATTTGACTGAATTTATTGCTAAGAACATGTCATTAAATGCATTAATAGCATTTTAGCTCTCATTTGATCTTGTGGAAGTAAGCATAGCAGAATTGAAAAATAACGTCTGCTCAGTAGGACACTAAGGCAGTGGAGATATTTTTGCCAAACATCTCCATTACATTCTGGACTATATCTGGCAGGCAAAAATGGGTGATGCTCTCACAGGAAAACAGGAGAGATACATTCTACTGAAAATTCCAGAGATGCTACATGCTTCCTAAATACAGTTCCTGCTTATATGTTGAAGGGATAACAACGGGCAGCTATGGAATATTTAAAAATATACTTGCATCTGCTGCTGGTAGGTAAATACTAGGTTTATGCTTATCAAAGAGAGCAAATTGCTTTGATTTCAACTCATATTTAATTAAAGCTGGATTTGATAAGTTGATGCACGTACAAAGTTTTCTACCTCTGTTGAAACTGGCAGCACTGGTGTTTAATATTATCACCATTTAAGCCCCACCAGGGGAGATGTTGCAATGGTGACCAAAACAACCCTACCTGCTCGGAGGTAATTGTTTCTCAAAAACACTGATTGCAGTGCTTTAGATGATTCAATACCTGAGTTTATTCTGTGATCATTAAGCCAGGCAGGTGATAAGATACAGGTTGCAAAGCTGAGAAAAAACATTCTCCAGAAATATTCTCACTCTTTACTGCCTCCATGAAGCAGAAACTTGTGACTTGGCACCACTGGAGTACATGGCCTGTATGTGCCATTACTAAGCCTCTGCTTGTCTGTAAAAATCAGATTTCACAACTTGAAAATAAATTTGGCTTTAGAGGTACAGTCTTGGCTAAGGTTTGTGTGGTTTTTTTCTACAGCTAGTAACAGGAGAAACACAAGCAGATGTTTTCTAAGGAAGGACTATAGGACTATTATGCTCAGCATTGGTCTATGTCCAGTAGTGACTCTCTACAACCAGTTTTTAGTTGCCAGTAAGCTTGATGAGTTTTTCTGCAAGTATGTAGAAGACCAAAGGACTGTCATCACATGAATCTCAAATGCTTTGCAAACAGAAGGAGACGAGGCTGAATTGTTTCAACAGTGGGTTGGTACCAATGGTTTGTCATTGACTTCAGTTGATGTAGTGAGGCCTGTTATAAGACATCAAAAGCAGTCACATGTCCAGATGATTCACAAGATTTATTTTTCTATTTATACGTGTCTTTTTTGACTTTGGGTTATGAATGAAGTGCATAAAATATAAGACTTATGCTACCACTGTTCTGTTACTGATGAAAAAGTGCTTCCAGCTTTCAAGGCAACACCTTGAACACCACTCAAAAGAATAGCCTGAAACCTTCAGAGGTGTCTCTTTTTTCCAAGGTCAGCTTTGCTCAGGTTCATGATATATTCACAGAAGAACAGCAAGCTGTTTCTTCTTGGCCTTTAGTGTTAAAAATGTCTCATGCACAGAGACCACGACACAGAGTAGGCACCTGAATTGCCATGTCTTGACTGACAGCTTCTAAAAGACTAATCAATATAGTCACATCTCACATAAATACTAAAATATTGGAACACATCATCACCTAAGGGTATTTGCCCAGCTGTTGACCTCCATTTTGTACTTCCTGATGAGCTTTGGGATTTCACTGTAAAAGCATTCATTTCTATATAGCTTTGCATTAGACATAAAGGAACGGGAAAGGAGGTGGAACTCAACAAGCTGTCAGGAGTGAGGATACTAAAGTATTTTAATGAACTCACCTGTGGTAGTAGTTTTAATTCTTTGAGTTTGTTGCATTTGTAGAACTGGTTTTACGTTCATAGTTGGACTATGACTTTATTTGGATTCTTCAAAAATTCAGCTTAACAGTAGTTCTAAGTCTTGCTTGGTCTTACTGCAAGAGCCCTTTATCATCCCTGCGATGGCTTGTATGGAGTTCCTACAAATGTGAACGTGACTTCTTGTCATTTGGCAGAACTTTGTACATGCTACAAGGGCACCTATATACTT